TCAGTAAACGATTCTGAACAAACTACTTTCTCAAAGTGCGTTAATTATGTTACGTGTATACAACACGTTGTATACATACATCTGAGGTATCTGAATAGACCCACTTCTTAATCGCATCTGTTACTCGTTAGTTATAGTAAATTAAATGTTGTATTTTAGATAAACAAATTTAATTTGTTTTAAGGTAAAATTTTATACGTCGTCCTGAATTTCTTGCTCGTTCTTTCCAGGACAGAGGGTTCCGAAGCCGTGGTAAAATTAAAAAATTACTCGATAATAATTATTAGTAATATATCTGATATATAAAATATTATTTTTGTTTGTTCGTATTTTATGCGCTGTCGTACCGTTCATCAGATTGTATTCTTTTCTGTTCTATCAGGGAATTTCAGTTCTCATGATGATTTATTGATATACCTAATCTAGTTTTCTAACTTATATATATATATATATATATATATATATATTTAGGTTAGAAAACTAATGGTTAACGATATTTTATTCTCAAAAGAAATATACATTTTATTTAATGAGAAGTTACAATATTCAAGTTATAAATGGGTTATGAGCATACAGATAGCAAAAAAATAATATAATTATATATATATATATTAACATTAAAAAGGGAGGAAAGAGTTTCGTGAACTTCTTACTTGTTTAGTGAATTAGATTACTATTATTATTTCTAGCATATATTTCAATTCTATTTATTTTGAGAATTCTAAGAAATAAATACAGATGCATTTAACTTTCAAGTTGTATTTTGTCTTTTAGTATGACTAACTGCTTTATTTTTTAATGACTAACGTTATTAATTTTACATGTCATATAGCATATGGTTTTACAATGAAATTTACATAAAGTTTTCATCATGTATACCTTGAAACTTGAAAACAATCCACCTGAGATAAATAAGGATATGCGATGATTATTCCAGTGGAACCAAAGTAACTGATATAATTTTAAGGAATCAGTACAATATTGTGAATATAGCAAAATATATGAGTTTAATAAATCTTCAAGTGCATTCTGTCCTGCTCTGACAGTAATCAATACTGCACTGTAACTGGTCGGATGCCCGGGGTCGTTATCTACACTCTCTATATCTATATCTCAAACTGTAACTCCCTATTTCATCCCTTAGGCCGTAGAATTTTCCAGAAAATTTTTCCAAAGAAAGGATTCTTGTTGGGTGTCTACTTTGAGAAAGGAGTATATATATGTCAAATTTCAAGTTAATAGGTAGTATAGTTATGGAGATCTCGTGATGAGTAAGTGGTGATTCGCTTATCTTTATATATAAAAATTACGTGTCACATTGTTTGTCAGCGACGAACTTTTAAACGACTGAGCCGATTTCCATGAAATTTTGCTCCTATTGTACTTCTAAGATGTTCAGGTGGCACCCCTCCTTAAATAATAACTCCTAGTTAATATGCACATACTCGAAAAATCCTTAACAGTTCGTGTATATATTTTAATTACAGTTTAACGTAAAATTGTTTTAATTATATTTTAGTTATTTTTTTATCTAAAAATCCCTATACATCCGTAAAATCCGTAGGTACCATCAGGTAAAGTAGTACGGATATAAATAAATATGCTCTACGCAGTCCCGTCGACGCATTTAATCAATAATGCACCAGTCGCATCCCGATTCCCGGGCTAGCTGACTGCGCTCAGTCTACTCCCAGCTACCGGTGTGAAAAGTGCGCGCTGAAAGTAAGTTAGTAACCTATTGTACATTGTGATCAAATTATTGTTACATCAAAGTCGGCCGCGTTTGTAGGAGGTTCAGGTAAAGAGGAGGTGTGTTTGAATGTATTTCTCAAATAGCTGAGACAGCTATGTAAAAAAAATTGTTTGTTCGTATGTTATGCGTTATCATACCGTACATCAGATTGTGGTAATCCTTTGTCGAAATTGTACTTGCACTTCCGCGAAGGTTGTAGAATCCAGATATCCGTCCAAAACCGGGGCCGATCCATATTATTGAATAGAAACTTATTCTTTTCTATTCTATCAGGGAATTTAAGTTCTCATGATGATTTATTGATATAATCTAGTTTTATTTCTATAATATATTTCTATGTTCTTTATTTTGAGAATTTAGATAATAGTGTAAGGTATGTTTTGTCTTTTAGTATGACTAACTTCATTCTTTTTAAATGACTAAAGTTATTAATTTTACATGTCATGTGGCATAAGGTTTTGCAATGAAATTTACTTAAAGTTTTCATCACCTTAAAACTTGAAAACAATCAACCTGAGATAAATAAGGATATGTGATGATATTTCCAGTGGAACTAAAGTAACTGTTATAATTTAACGAATCAGTACAATATTGTGAATATAGCAAAATATATGAGTTCAATCTTAAATCTTCAAATGCATTCTGTCCTGCTCTGACACTAATCAATACTGCACTGTAGCTGGTCGGACGCCCGTAATATTACCGAGCCCGGGCTCGGTATCTACACTCGCTGTATATGTTATAGCCACAAATAATATTTATTTACAATTAAATTATAAACTCTAACTCCCTATTTCATCCCTTCAACGGTAGAATTTTCCAAAAAAAATTCCAAACAAAGGATTCTTGTCGGGTGTCTACTTCGAGAAAGGAGTATATACATATATGATCTTTATATATAAAAATTATGTGTCATATTATTTGTCAGCAATGAACTTTTAAACTACCGAAATGATTTCCATGAAATTTTGCTGCTACTGTGCTTCTAAGATGTTCGGGTGGCGCCCCTCCTTAAATAATATACATACTAAACTCCTAGTTAATGTGCACATAATCGAATGTATATTTTTAAAAGATATTTAAACAAAATTTCGCTAAATCCTTTACAGTTCGTGTGTGTATTTTAATTACGATTACGTCCATAAAATTCGTAGGTAAAGTAGTACGGATATAAATTAGTATTCTCTACGCAGTCCCGCCGACGCATTAATCAATAATGCACCAGTCGCATCCCGATTCCCGGGCTAGCTGACTGCGCTCAGTCTACTCCCAGCTATCGGTGTGAAAAGTGCGCGCTGAAAGTAAGTTAGTGACCTATAACCGGTTAACCCTAACCGGCCGCGTTTGTAAGAGGTTCAAGTAAAGAGCAGATGTGTTGCATGTATTCTCAAATAGCAGTTCCCCGCGACTTCGTCCGCGTAGAATTTATTACGGTTGCATTTCATGGGTTTTAACTATTTCGCGCGGTACCCTAATTATTTTTTTAAAATAAAAATAGCCAGTTATAAAAATAAAAATAGCAAGTTATTTCTTATGACATCACCTATCTACCAGTGAAAATACCGTCAGAATCGGCTCAGCCATTTCGTAGAATCGACAAACATACAGACAAAACATCATAGATATATGTCTATGATGTTTTGTCTGTATGTTTGTTCTGTCTAATCTACGACATGGCTGATCCTATTCTGAAGGTATTTTCACTGGTATCTAGTACTGATCCTTGTGAATACATAATTTCTATAAAAACTTAAAAAACGCGGTCATACGGTCTAAAATTGCGTTGTGCCCGCGACAATTAAGACCGCTTAGATTGTCAGCATCTTAAAATATTTAATTAAATAAATAAATAAATCTTAAAATATTTTATTAAATAAATCAATAATTATTTATTTAAAAAATTATTGATTTATTTATCAAAACAATGAGCAAGTAAATTATGAATATTGACGCTTTGAACATATTTGAGTGATTCCCAAGCATGTAGATTATGTAATTTCGTTGTAATTCCAGCTATAGTGATTTTTTTGAGGTGTTTTCGCGAATAATTATGATCGAGTCAAAATTATACAATCGTTTTTAAATAAGCAAATTCAAGATAAAGACACGAATTTACCTATATCAAAATTCCACTTTCGTTAGTGGTGTCATAGTCCTATACTATTCGATGAAAGGAGGTGCCTTTTTTCGCGGTGTCGCCTTGACACTGTGTGACCACCTAAGGTAACAAATCAATTCTCTGTTAGTACCAAATAGCGACATCTGAGTAGTGTAGAATTATAAGCTTTAACTTATGATTTCATCAAATCGATACTTGATTACTGGCTGGCCCTGCAGACTAATTAATACTGCAGACGTTAGTCGCTGCCCGACTTGCGTAGTGCAGAACTGCACTCATATGTTATATGTTTCCTGTTTATGCTATAGTGATTTTTAAATCCAGTCCGATTTTTTTTTTTTTTATAGAAGAGGGGGGCAAGCGAGCATGGGTCACCTGATGGTAAGTGACTACCGCCGCCCATGATCAACCGCAACACCAGGGGAATTGCAGGTGCGTTGCCGGCCCTGTAGAAAGAAAGAATTCATCATAAGGCTAATTATACGACCCTAAAAAGAGTTTAATATTTTTTGAGAGTATGTATGTACATATGTATGAATGTATGTACATATTATGTATGAATGTATGAGTGTATGCCTATTTTTGACACGTTCTGTAGCCTAAATGACTTGATGGATTTAACATATGATGTGTCATTTCTTTCGTATTGATTATGGGAGCGACACAGGCTACATAATATTGTTTTTATAGAATAAGATTGACAAACTAGCACACAATCATTATATCTATTCTCGATTAAGAATCAAAATGCAGATGCGTTATCACCCTTAAGGACTAAGATAGAATACCTTGTTTTCAGTGGGAAGGGTATCCGGTTCTCTACACTCACCATACGAAACACAGTAGCGCTAAGCTGCTATTCTGTACTGGTATTCTGTGAGATCGTGGCCCTTCCCCGGTTGAGCCGACTTAATATAAGCAAATACAAAACAAGGAAGGGGGAGGTGTCTTTCAGTAAATTTTATTTGCTATTTTATTATAAGGAACAAGAAAAAAGATTTGCAGCTAAACATTAAATCAGCAAAAAGCAAAAATAACATATTTATTTTATTTTCAGATTTTTGCCGATACTTTGACCTTAAGTGAACAACTTACCCCGATAATTCGGAGTAGAGGTTTACTTCTATCATGAAGCACCCTCCGTTGACTACGTTTTCATCAGTCCCACATGGACATCGAATTTTAAGTGAGTATTCTGTGTCTTTAGATTTATGTACGATTTGGTCTTCCCTCTTGATGACTTTTTGAATGTTTTAGTTTATTCTTTTGAAATATCATTTACAATTATAACGGTCTCTGGTTACGATTACCATTACGAGAAAAGTAAAACTAAGCTATTTTATTACGGTAGCGTTTTCGGCTCCACTGGGGAGGATCCCCTTCCCCATATTTTTTTCTTATTCCTCAGACATGCAGGTTTCCTCACGATGTTTTCATTCACCGCCGAGCACGCGATAAATCAGCACTCAAAATTGCAATTAACAATTTCATTGATGCCGGCGGGGATCGAACCCGGGTTACACGCGTTCTGTTATATTTACAGCGAGCGTTAACGTTCTTCAGACTGAATTTCGATTAATATGATATCTTATATTTACGATTTTATGATATTATATAGATGTTTGTCGTCCTGATGTCTTAGTTGGCCCGACTTTCTTCAGTTTCTGAAGATTAGTTCTTGTTCCGATCTACGCTTGACACACATAGGAACGAGATTAGATTATGGTCTCTGCATCTCTTCAAGCAATTTAAATATGTTATATTTCTTGCGCGCTTGGCCTTGAGATCTTCTAATCGGCGAATTTTATTTGCTATTACCAGTCCGTACTGGTTCACATAATGATTTGTTGTATTTACACCAATAGCACACATTGAAGAAAAGATTTATTTGTGTTAAAATAAAAAAAATATATAAAAAAATATCATAATAAAACAAGTACCAGTGTCACTCTTGTAATCAGTTACTCGTGTACAAGTTAAGATTCACCAAAAAAGAATAATCGCAAATAGACTCAATTAATAATCTTTTAACGTAGTAGAGCTACGCGATGGCTACAACCATTCGTGCTACGGGACCATACTCTTACGGTATAACAGCGTAAAATAGCAGCTCAATGCTATTGTGTTTCGTATAGTGAATATAGAGAACCGGAGACTCTTTATACTGGAAACGAGACATCTGCATTTTGATCCTTAATCTAAGATAGATCTATATTATATGTACCACAGTCTATGTGCCACAACATCCACTTACCATCAGGTGGCCACTCGTTTATCATCATAATTCAAAAAAAAAAGAAACAATTTGTATATTCTTTCCTTTTTATATTCAGAATGTTCGATGATGGCCAACCGTATCAACCTCGCGAGGCTTAAACAAACTCCAGCTACACTACTTTACAAGACGTGCTCCAGTTCTCCGGTTTCAATGCCGAAGAAATGGTCGCATAATTATCAAACAGGTGAAAGTATTTTCATGTTTTCTGTTTCATTTTTGACCGAATACTCTAGCTCTACACTATTTTTAACACGACGTTAAGTATCGTGGTGTCGCAGTCTAAGTGACTAAAAGCGACAGAGATAGCACGAGACCTAACGGCATTTTAAAATTATAGTGACAAACTATCTATGGTCCACCCCATGCTACGTGTTCACTGAAGACCTTGTACAACTACAGCCTGTTTGAAATAAATAAAGCTACAGACAAGTAGTCACGCCTGCGGAGATGTACAACCGCTGTCAGGTGGTAGAAATAGGTATAAAATCCTACCACCTTATGTTTTGTGGTCTATATTAAACTTACGTGTAAGGTATGTGAGGATAAATAGTCACCTTAAGTTTTGTCGCCCTATAAAACTAAAGCTAGGAGGAGGACGGAGTTAAAACAGAAATTTGAATATTATAACTAATATATTAAGATCCACTATACCATTTTACGTGGTAAAGCCATGCTGCAATTATATTAGTAGTATAGTTGAAGGACGAATGGGTCGGCTCGATCGGGGAAGGACCACGCTCTCACAGAATACCAGCGTAAAATAGTAGTTTAATGCTGCTGTGTTTCCTATGGCGAGTGTAGAAAACCGGAGACCCTTTTCACTGGAAACGAGGCATTCCATCTTAGTCCTGACGGGTGACAACGCATCTGTATTTTGATTTGTAATCGTGGATAGATCTAGATGTCTATGGGCCACAGCAACCACTTACCATCAGGTGGACTGTGTGCTCGTTAGTCACTCTATCCTATATAAAAAAGAAAAAAATATAGCAAACAAGCTTTGGCAATAATTAGGAACACTTCGAAAGATCTACATGATAAAACTAACTACACTACAATACTAAAATCGACAAAAATATTTATTGTAATGTCTACTGTCAAAATGGCATCGATAAAGCATCGATCTTTTGACCTTTTATTATTGAATTGACCGATGAAGAGCTATCATATCACAAAGCAAACATCATCATCATTTTAGCAAATAAGGCTGTAGTTTTTGAATTACAAGACAGTGACCATATTAACCAGATGACCATATTAACCTCACGTTCAGTAAATTCACAGTATAGTGAATGAATCGCCCAGTTTGAAAACAACTGAAGTTAGTGTGAGAACATCGTATAGTAATAATAATGTTCTTCAGATTGAATTTTGGTCAAGGCGGACAATCTTATCAGAGACTAACCATCTACGCAGGACAGGATCGTATTGCCCGAGTGTATGCACACACATAGGTGCACTTTCTCTTCCCTCTATCTCTCATAGACCGATGAGAGAGAGAGAGAGAGAGAGAGAGAGAGGTAGGTCAGGCGCAAGACCAACGGCTTTACGTGTTTTCCGAGACACCGGGGTTGCGAAGCAGCCAACTTACTGAACCCGGACAACTGATGAGAATTTCTTGACAGAAAAACCCAATAACTATTTTGGCCTAACTCGGGAATTGAACCTTCTACCTCATGATCAGGAATCGCTTTTGCGACCACTAAACTAACGAGGAAGTCAACATCGTATACAAATATTTTAAGAGAGTTAAATTCCAATGATTCCAAATGCGCATGCTATTTATCCTAGAAGCCTGCTTACACTAAAAATTCAACCAACCGCAATGATTTGAATATTTTTCTGTGAAGCTGATAGTATTTAACATTATGTTATTTACACAGGACTTCGCCCACTACAACCAGTGAGTGGCGGTGGGAACAATCTGAAGTAAGCCGCTGCCCACGTGTTCTTCTTGTCTTCTGTTCTCTTCTGTATACTATCCAGCTCCCGGTATTTCCAGCACTGAAGGGTTGGCGTAAGTGAAATCTTGAATCACCAGCAGTTGGAAATTATTTCGATATATCGAATCCAAGTCTTGTGTCTTAGTGTTGTTTTACGTATACTTTAAAAAAATCATACAAACTTAACTGTACGTTATTATCTGCATGAATTATTAAAACCTAAATGTAAAATATTCCACATACATAATATTGTTACTAGTGTTGTCTAATGATCCACGACTTTTTCTGTCACCGAGGGCGCCACTCATCCCAAATGAGGTAAAACATTTCACAGGGTTCATGCGGGAAAAGTTTATTTGTTAGAAAGTGTAGAAATTAATGTTTCTATCTGAAATATAACTATTGTTTTATTTTAATTAGAGAAGAAATGAAACTATAGTTAAAAAGTAGAAGAATTTCAAAAAAATGTGTAAAGAATTAAAGAATACAGCATTAAGGTATTGTTCTGTGTGTGTACATACAATAGAAACCGAAGAACTTTTAATTAAAATGCTACTTTTCAATTATGACGCCATTTTGTGACCATTCGCGTGACATATTTGTTCACCTCACCTTTCACCTCAACCCTAACTGGTAACATCTGATGAGCATAAGAAAAGCCCTTATTGGTGTTGTTGTGTTCGTTTAGAAGTAGAGCTATGTTACGAGTCTGCTCTTGTAACGATCTGTCTGAGTAACAAATTTGCATATTCATTTACTTCATTAGTTGATGTATTCGGTAATCTGTTACATCGATATATTTAATTGTAAACCATCTTATATTTGATTAAATCTATACTTATAGGAGAAAATGCTCCATGAAATCTGTTTTTATGTTACTTTGCATATATATCGTATACTGTCGAAACAAATTCAGTTTCTGATTCTCTTCAATCATGTTTAATTTTTTGGATATTACTTTAATCATAATTAAACAACATATTAAATATACTTAAAAAATATAAAATATGCATTTCCTTAACAATTCATAAATCAGGGGTTTAGCGCTCGCTGTAAATTTCACCCGACCCGGGTTCGAACCCCGCCTGCACCAATGAAATTATTAATTGCAATTTTGAGCGTTGATTTACCACGTGATTGGTGGTGAAGAAAAATTTTAAGAGGAAACTTGCTTTTTTTAGGAATAAGAAAGAAATATATTTCGAAGACAAGTGAAGTTCGCCAACACGCATTGGGGCAGCGCGGCGGATATTTCCTTGCCCTAAAACCTTCTCAGATATGAGAGGAGGCTTGTGCCTAGCAGTGGGACGATATAGGCTGTTACCTATATGACCACAATGAAAATTTTCTTATTTGCTTTGTATTTACATCTTTTAGGTTGAAATTGGCGTTTTGTTGAACTGACCAGTTGAATTTTATCAACGGTATTCTTAGTTGGAATTCTAAATTCAAATATATTTTATATTTAATGTTCTTTCTGGCAAAATCAGTGATTTTTTTCTTCTGCTTTTGATTTTCTGCAATATTTATAACCATAGACTCGTGTTATTTTGACGTCAATACGTTTTGTTTTTTGCTTTTAATGGGAAGCAATTCAGCAACTGATTGTAATAATTTTATACGTGGTAGAGCCACGCTGCAGCTATATAATGGCTGTAGCACGAATGGGTCGGCTCAACCGGGGAAGGACCACGCTCTCACAGAATACCAGCGTAAAATAGCAGTTTAATACTGCTGTGTTTCGTATGGTGAGTGTAGAGATCCGGAGACCCTTTCTTACTGGAAACGAGGCATTCCATCTAAGTCCTCAGGGGTGACAACGCATCTGCGTTTTGATTTTTAGTCGAGGATAAATGTAGATGTGTATGGGCCACAGCATCCACTTACCATCAGGTGGGCTGTGTGCTCGCTTGTCACCCGTATCCTATATAAGAAACAAGATTGTGGCATACAAATTAGTGTTACATATTTTCATTTACATCCAAAATTTAATTACATAACTTGATAGCTAAGATAAAAAATTAAATAATTACATCATTACATCGTTCGCGGCGATGGGTGGAGCGATCCATTTTGAGGTAGTTTTGCTGCATCACATAATATCCGTTTAGTATACATTATTATGACGTTACTTAAGCGTATTCACGTACAAACACACGGCCATGTCTACTACACAGCCACAACCCGAAGTTTTTGTTTAATATGATTTCGGGCGTGAAAACAATGCGCTTCAAACGGTACGCAGTATTAATGACGTGTACGAACATAGCACTACTAAGGAGGGTACTGGGTACTAACTGTGATTTATTAGTCCAGTCGCTTTCATCCGGGAAAATTATCCTCACAGAGACGTTGGTAAAATCAACAAAGCTAAGGCCAGATACTTTTATCCAGCTGTCATATTTTAGACCTTGCCCCAACAGACTTTTTCCAACCAATTTTCAGTGAAGAATAAATTAAAAGAGTTCATCTCTTCTCGCGCAGCACACTTCTATAATAGCAAGGTTACACCGGTGGCGATAAAATACCAAGGACTATCTAACTTTAAAAGTTTAATATTCGTCTAAACCTTTAAATTATTCGTCTATTTTGATAAATTAAAGTCTTTTTGTATTTTGATTTTTTTCTTTCCACACAAAATGAATTGCGTAGCTTCTAATATTATTTATTGTATACATACATGTTACTTCACGGAAATCAACATTTAATGTTAATGGATCATCATTATAATGAAATGACGTGCGCCATAAACAATCCAAGTCTTTGGAAACATTTTTACGGGGCCCTCGTAGTCGTTGAGACTTATTTTGTAGTGGCCGATGAGGTATTGATGGTACTACTAGGTTTCTGTTGCTTTAAAGTTACAGCCTATATACGTCCCACTGCTGGGTACAGGCCTCCGCTCGTTTCTGAGAGGGTTTTAGGGCAAGGAATTGTTCGCCGCGTTGCCCCAATGCGTCTTGGCGAACTTCACATGTCTTTGAAATATTTTTTTTCCTCTTCCTCAGACATGCAGATTTCCTCACGATGTTTATCTTCACCTCCGAACACGTGGTAAATCAGCACTTAATATTGCAATTAACAATTTCAATGATGCCGGCGGGGATCTAGCGGGGAGCTAGTGCTTAGCCCCTGAGCTACCCCGGCTCCATTGGGGTAAGATGGTGATGGGGCAAGACCGTAAAATTCAAATTTCCGGCGAATTATACTATATTTCTAAATTCTAGCAATATTTCAATTTGCACCGACCCCAAATTCCAGCCAGTCGCTCCGGGAAATAGGGCGTGTGTTGCGCTGCATTTTATAAAACAAGGTAATTTTTGCACGAGCATACAATATGTTAACCATAAATTCGGGTAAAACATAAACAATTAAAAAGAACAGTAACATAGGTTAAAGGATCGCACACAAACTGATAACCAACCAACTACCGAAACAGAAAAAAGGACGCGCACAAATAAATTTACATTTTAATTTATTTTCTTCTAATTTATAAATAAAAGTTCTTGAAATAAATTCTAGTAGCTACTAACGACTTTAAAATAGTTATAAGTGAAATGGACTTTTTTGACGTTCAACTTAAGTTTCAAAATCTAAGTACAAGTTTGCTGACTCAAACGGTATACCATTCTCACTCTTACTGCTTTCACTGGTCCGGGTATTCGTGATTTGTAGCCTGACTTAAACAAGTTATGCCCCCTAATAATATATACCGCCATTTCTCTGCCTTATCATTATTGCTTCTCTCGACATCCACAGGACTTACTTAGGGCGACAATACTTGGTAGTAACGTACTTACATATATGTAATTACGTAATTATATTTACGTTGTTTATGTTTATTCATTTCGTGAATTTACATTTATAAAATAATATTAAACTAAAATACTAAGAAAAAGCTTCATTGTCTCTATGCTATATTCATGGTACAGAAAACTTTATAAAAATCATTAGAATGATTTTAAAGTCAGCAGTTAAAATTAATATCGCTTTTAGTATAAGTTAGTATATAATATAGTAAGAAATGTAAAATTTAGCCTTTAAGCATTAATAGAATGTGGCGGCGCTGTCGTCGCGCCACAAGCGTAACGCACCGTAGTCTAAATCGCACCATCAAAGTTCCGAAGCTATCGTGTTAAACAGGCCCAAAATAACACACGGGGCTTTGGCCGCTCCCTGTGCAGAACACCTTGCTCTACGGGAGATCTCCCCTTTTTCTTCCATGGCAGTGACAAACAGTAGTGATCCCGACGTGATTTGAGCACGCATCCTTCTGATCTGGAGTCACCATAATATGGAGACACGAGGTACCATAATATTCTAGCAGATTTTCTCGAAATGTCACTTACGGCTGGGATGCAACGTAACATCCCACATAACACCGTACATAATATTCACACTACACCAGGTCCTTCTATTTCATGTTCTTCCAGGCGTCTTACCACGAATAAATTGATAATTGTAAAACAGTAATTCGAGTCAATGCTTGTTAGCGGTATCGTCAGACCATTAGAGTTCACGGGCCAAACACCTTGCCTGTATGGAGATCTTCCCTTTTCCTTCCACAGCCACACTGGTGACCACCCGATGTGGTCTGAACACGCAACAATGCAATTTTCGGAAACCTCGACTTTCAAGCTTTTGTCATCGTTCTCAAGAACCCCATCCATTCGCTCCCGAGCAGATATTGTCTGCAGTCTTCATATCATGTAAGCCATCTAGTTTAATGGGCTCATCGTAGCGTTGGCATAATGCTTCAGTCCTATTTCTTTAAGCTACTCTCTGCGCTACCGTGTTCGGCACGGCTGTCAGCCTTACTGATCGCCTCTGCTTCACGGCGTTCTTGATTCTTCAGATTACGTTCCTATTTCTCAACTCACCGCAGATTATAAGGCGATTCCCTGGTACTTGCACATTCTTCGACAACTAGACTCCACCATCAACCTCCAGTCTGAGCTGGAAAGTGATGTGGCGACGCTGTCGTCACGCC